CTACAAGGTCCTAAGGAAAGAAAGTGTATCCAGAGTTTTAAGCCCAGTCACGTCATCCTTAAACTGTGCAGATAACAAGCAGACATTCTATTCTCAAGCACTCATGACTCTTCTTGAAGAAATGTCTTGACCATGAAATCCAGACAACCCAAACCTCAGGAATGAAGAAGCCACTGTTGGAGGACAGCTGATGAATGCACTAAATCCACTTAACACACAGGAGCTGTGGTTACAACACAAAGTGTAAGGGCTGCAAACTGTGACGAGGTAAAAATGATAGAGCAGTGATTTATGTCATAGAGTGTTCTGCCTATGTTTTCCTCTAAGAGTTTGATAGTGTCTGGCCTTACATTTAGGTCTTTAATCCATTTTGAGTTTATTTTCGTGTATGGTGTTAGGGAGTGTTCTAATTTCATACTTTTACATGTACCTGTCCAGTTTTCCCAGCACCACTTATTGAAGAGGCTGTCTTTTCTCCACTGTATACTCTTGCCTCCTTTATCAAAGATAAGGTGACCATATGCGCGTCGGTTTATCTCTGGGCTTTCTATCCTGTTCCATTGATCTATATTTCTGTTTTTATGCCAGTACCATACTGTCTTGATCACTGTAGCTTTGTAGTATAGTCTGAAGTCAGGGAGCCTGATTCCTCCAGCTCCATTTTTCGTTCTCAAGATTGCTTTGGCTATTCGGGGTCTTTTGTGTTTCCATACAAATTGTGAAATTTTTTGTTCTAGTTCTGTGAAAAATGCCAGTGGTAGTTTGATCGGGGTTGCCTTAAATCTGTAGATTGCTTTGGGTAGTAGAGTCATTTTCACAATGTTGAAACTAAAAAATAGAACTACCATATGACCCAACAATCCCACTACTGGGCATATACCATGAGAAAACCATAATTCAAAAAGAGTCATGTACCAAAATGTTCATTGCAGCTCTAATTACAATAGCCAGGACATGGAAGCAACCTAAGTGTCCATCAACGGATGAACGGATAAAGAAGATGTGGCACACATATACAATGGAATATTACTCAGCCATAAAAAGAAACAAAATTGAGTTATTTGTAGTGAGGTGGATGGGCCTAGAGTCTGTCATACAGAGTGAAGTAAGTCAGAAACAGAAAAACAAATACCATATGCTAACACATATATATGGAATCTAAGAAAAAAAAAAAAAGGTCATGAAGAACCTGGGGGCAAGACAGGAATAAAGACACAGAACTACTAGAGAATGGACTTGAGGATATGGGGAGGGGGAAGGGCAAGCTGGGACAAAGCGAGAGAGTGGCATGGACATATATACACTACCAAACGTAAGATAGATAGCTATTGGGAAGCAGCCGCATAGCACAGGGAGGTCAGCTCGGTGCTTTGTGACCACCTAGAGGGGTGGGATAGGGAGGGTGGGAGGGAGGGAGACGCAAGAGGGAAGAGATATGGGGATATATGTATGTGTATAACTGATTCACTTTGTTATAAAGCAGAAACTAACACACCATTGTAAAGCAATTATACTCCAATAAAGATGTTTAAAAAAAAAGTACCTTAAAGGAAAAAGAAAATGATAGAGCAAGTGGGGAGATGGGACCAGGAGAGCGAGAAAATATAACTGTGCTGCTCTCCTCTTCTTATTATAATTTTTCAACCAATGTAGTCTAAAACTAAAATATGGAGTAAAAATACATAATGATTCCAATATGTTCTGGTTTGTAAAGTCACTTTTTTAATTTTAGAGGGATCTTTTATAGCACAGAAACATTTTCTCAAAGATCAGCAATTTCTTCTGTTATACTTCAGATTCTCTTCTATAAATTTAAGTAAAGTAAAATTTAATACTTTAATTAAAAATAGAACATATAGCATGTCTCATGCTTAATTACATATCAAGCATGTTATTTTTCTATCTGTGTATATGCAAAGATAGGTGCCCAGAATGTTCAATTAATGTTAAAAATGGCTAATTTAGGGAAGCAGGGCCAAAAGTGAATTTTTAAATAATTTACCCCTGGTTGTGTTCTACTGTTTAAACATCTCATAATAGCCACGTGTCACTTTTATAAACTTAAAAGTCAGGTTTAAATTATAAAAGCAAAAACATATATTTTGTTGAATTTTTAAAGAAAACATAAAAAAATGCTAACTACATAAAAATTTACAAAATACAAAAATTTATAAAATGGAGAGAATCCAAAAGAAGGAAATAAAAATCACTCATAGTTCCATATTCAGTGCCAACCAGTTAACAGTTTCCACTCCTGGGATGGAAAGGACTTCATAAAGACAACATCAAATATTGAATAATTAGCCCCTTATATTTTCTCCCAATACTCTTATGGTCAATTTAATGGCATTGAAATATTTAATTGACCAGAGTTTACTTTGGGTTTTGGTGTGAAGTCAGAACTAAATCTTTTCTGCTGTTTGGTTAGTTGTCCTAAAGCCACACTCTGAACAATCCATTCTCTGCTGGCCAACTTGAAATGCCACCTTTACCAAGTTCTGACCTGGAATTAAATACCCCAGGCTTGAGCACCCTCTATCATTCCAATTTTTCAGGGACCTCAACGTGCTCGGAAGCCCCTGGTCCATGGAGCAGACTCCCCTGTCAGCCTCTGCTCAAGCGCCTTCCATCTGGGAAGCCTTTCTTGGCCCACTGTCCTGGTCTCTATTTCTATCTCTGTGGGACTAAGATTCTTCTCTCCATGAAGCCAGGTTCCTCTTATCCCTCCATCTGGTCCAGTGTCTGGTGCATACACAGGCCCTCCTTGTCCCCAAGGAACCAGTCTCCCTGACCACCCTATCCTGCCCACGTGCTACAGCGGGCATCTGAACAGTGACAGGCAAGAGAAAGGACTCCTGGATTTTTGTTTTTAAAACATTAACTAGAATGACATTCATTTCACCACTTCCACTTTGGAGACTTGTAAAGGTTTTACTTTTTTCAACAATATTTCCCTTCTAATTTTGCTCCTACTGTTAATTACTTGCCATCCTTGTGACACTAAGGCAATAATCAGTCATAATAATTAGTCATATGCACCCAAGAGAATCATTCTTCCAGGCTCCAGAGTCCTGCAAGGAGGACTTGGCTGTCCCCTGAGCAGACAGCCCTCCGGCGGGGGCACCATCTCGCCAAGCTCAGCTCTCTAGCGACCAGCCTGTGTGCTAAAGCCAACCTCAGGGCCCTGCCCCAGGCTCCAGGCAGCTTCCTAGCCGAGGGAACTTTCTATAAACTTGTCCTGGGAACAGGCACACTGGCCACTGGGAGTCAGGGCTTGCCTTCAGGCCTGGTACCCAGCCCTGGGTCCGTCCTCCCAGGATGGATGCTTCATCGGCCAGTGCACTCGGCCGGTGCGAAGAGAAGGCAGAGAGGGACACAGACGCACCCAGGGGGGCTGAAGGGAGCCACAGCCACACAGACACTTCAGTGCCGGAGCCAGAGGGGCGCTGCCAACAGTCGTGGGATCGTGCGCCGGGGTGTTCTCCAAACTGGTGGGGTGTGGGTGTGGGAAGATCAGCTCAGCCAGCTCCGCAGGATGTCATGCTGAAGGCCCAGCTCCCAAACCAGAGAAGACAAAGGCAGCCATTGCTTCAAAGGCCACAACTAGACCCACTGGGTAGAAATTACAGGGAGGCAGACTTCAGGTGCAAGTAACAGCGAGCTTTCTACCCGGAGCAGCAGCCCGCCCTGGCACGCATGCGCACACACCACACACACACACACACACACACACACACACACACACACACAGCCGTATCAGGAGTGCTGCTGAGGGATTCTGAACTCACAGAAGACCAGGTCAGAGGGCCCCCCAAAGACTCTTGGGTTCTGCCCTTAAAATGTAGCTAGAAAAGGGTTACTCTTTTTAGTTGGAGAAGATGTATTAAGGACCTATTTACGAAGCTTAATGATAGGGTGCCAGGAGGACACAGGGATGAGAGCAATATCCCCTCCTCCTGACTGCAGAGCTGTTATTATCTCCAGGCCTGAATATGCTAGTGGAGAAGGTTCTGGAAGCTGGAATGAGACCATCTTGAGGGAAGGGCCATCTTGAGAGGAGCTGTCACCTTTGCTTGAAGGACACATTCAGACTGAGGTTACAAGACAGAGAAGGGACCCAGATACATAAGTGTTGGGCTTCATTTACTCCCATCTCTGAAGCCTGGCCAGAAATGGGTTACTCTTCAAACGTGTTCATTATCCAGAATTTTGAGAAGCATCAACTACACCCTTACACTGAGCCTTACTGGCTTTTAATAAAGTGAATTTAATGATAAAAGATTAAAAATAAGTTTGATCTTCCGATATTTATCATTAGGCACACATGACGTTCTATCTTCAAAATAAGCTGGCTAAGTCAGCTAGCCGATTGACCTCAAGCAGCATGTGAGTGTTGTCCACAAGAGTGTAAGATCCGACACCACACCGTCAGGAGCTTGAAGACACGTGTAAAAACTACACACTGCATCGGAACATAAAACCAGCTTAAATCTTGAGTAGCTACAAAAATGAGTGCTGGGAGGCTTCTCGGCATAATTTTACATGTGATCTCCAAGGAGACACAGGTTAAAATAAAAAAGACTCTGACTGAATGCATTCCAGCTGCTGCCAGGGCAGGACACCAAAGGAAGCCAGGCTGCAGCCGAGCACACAGGTCCACGGCCACGCGGGTGCCGGCCTTTCGGAGGCTGGGAGGGGCCCAGTCCAGTGAGGGGACAGCACGGCCTCGTGGTCCCCCAACTGCGGTCAGAATGGAAGCCAGCAGGCATGACCCTACAGATCCTGATGAAAACCCAGTCCTCCTAACCTTTGCTTCTGAAGGTAAATCCGCTTATCTGGCAGCTTTCTAATTGCTTTAGGGAAAGGCAGATACAAAGACAAACTTTACAGGAAGAAATCAGAGTCGAACAGGGAGAGACAGGGGCCTTCATGCTGGGCAGGGACCAGGGAGGGACGGGATGTGCCATCAGCATTTCACAAAGACGTGCCGACAGGCCCACCTGAAATTCTGCATGAACTGCCGGAACTTGTCCACCCTCCTGGCCAGTGGGACGATGACATTGACCAGTGTGCCGGCCATGTTCAAATCCTCCTTCTTCACCTTCATGATGGGGCCAAAGGGTCGGAACAAGACAAGCCGTCTGAACTCGTGCTTGTGGTCCCCTCTGAACGTGAGCTCATACAAAGTGCCTTTATCCTTTTCAGTGCGGTAGATCCCTGTTAACAGACACAAGGAGAGACAGTTCTAAAAATTAACCGTGGCTGCTGAGTGTTTTTAATAGCCACGAGCTAGCACAAAATGCCTTACTTTAAAAAATTAAATCTCCACACCTAATACTTATTAGAAAACTCAAAATGCTCCCACTTAAATTGCAAAAGAAATGAAAATACCATCAATTTAAAAATGGGTTATGAAGACCTCAAAAAAACACACGGCAAAAAGTTTGTAACGTTGTAATTCAAAAAGAGTCATGTACCAAAATGTTCATTGCAGCTCTATTTACAATAGCCAGGACATGGAAGCAACCTAAGTGTCCATCAACAGATGAATGGATAAAGAAGATGTGGCACATATATATAATGGAATATTACTCAGCCATAAAAAGAAACGAAATTGAGATATTTGTAATGAGGTGGATGGACCTAGAGTCTGTCATACAGAGTGAAGTCAGAAAGAGAAAAACAAATACCGTATGCTAACACGTATATATGGAATCTAAGGGGAAAAAAAAGGTCATGAAGAACCTAGGGGCAAGACAGGAATAAAGGCACAGACCTACTAGAGAATGGACTTGAGGATATGGGGATGGGGAAGGGCAAGGGTAAGCTGTGACAAAGTGAGAGATTGGCATGGACATATATACACTACCAAACGTAAAATAGATAGCTAGTGGGAAGCAGCTGCAGAGCACAGGGAGATCAGCTCGGTGCTTTGTGACCACCTAGAGGGGTGCGATAGGGAGGGTGGGAGGAAGGGAGACCTAAGAGGGAAGAGATATGGGAACATATGTATATGTATAACTGATTCACTTTGTTATAAAGCAGAAACTAACACACCATTGTAAAGCAATTATACTCCAATAAAGATGTTAAAAAAAAAGTTTGTAACGTTGGATACAAAGCTGCATTTATACTATTCAGAGGCATTTAAAAAAGGACTGTAAGGAAATACATCAAAATAAGACTGGCTGTGCTGTGGAGAAGGGTTATGTGTTTTTTCTTTTCTGCTATTTATCTACATTTCTGCAATATGATAAGATACATACTTTAATATTATATTTAATTTAAGAAGCGTGTTAAAACTATCTCTGAGAAACGACAGCCATTTCATATGAAGTGACCACAGTGGTCCATTCGGGGCACTGGGAGCCACTCGGGCCGCTCCCATGGGTCATGTGGCCCCATGGAAGCTTCCGGAAGCACTAAAGCAGACGGCATGTACAGTACCAGCACAGCGGCAGGTGCACGTCTTGCGTAACTTCCGCTCTGGGAAGCAGCATAGCCAGCACCTCAGAGCCAGCCTACTTGGGGCGACGATGGGCCCCCCAAGTGTTGCCGTCACTGGAACTCCACTGTCTCATTGCTGGGCGGACCGTGTGACCCAGCTTTTCGCTCAACGACGGGATGAGGCTCCGCAGGCCTGACCAGACAGAACTTCCCCGCCTCACGAGCCAACCATCCCCAGGGGCCTAAGTTCCACACCTCCCCATGTCACTGGGCTTGTGGGTGTTTTCCTACCGGCAGAAAAACCCATCCAGTTAGACAAGTCACCAGAGAAGAGTCCTCGTCTCTCTTCTCTTGACTGGCCAGGTTTTCCCTTTCTCGTCCTCCCTTCCTCTGAGCCCCTACTTTGGCTGGGATGCACCCTGGGCCCTGAGTAGCTACAAAGGCGACTCCACAGAAGGCATCCTCCTGGGCTCGCCGGTTTCCAGGCCTCTTCGAGCCCTTCTCTTTTCATCCTCACCCCCCCTCTCCTCTCTTCTGTGGGGACCACAGGTCTGCTGCACAAATGCCTCTGTTCTTCCCCTTCCAGGAGCTGTTCACCCCACACCCCTGGCTCTGCGGCCTCTCTGATCTCCCTCCAGGGCCGCAGAGAGGAGCCTGGGCTGCGAATCTTCCAGGGGGCCTCACCTGCCACCGCCCAGAGGTTCACACACACAGCCCGACACCGGCGGCTCGGGGACTCAAGGACCTGGGCGCAGGTCTACAAGGATGGGGTGGAGCTCCCTCCTGAAGCCCCCTGGGCTCCCCAGTGCAGGTCGGGGAAGCTGAGAGAAGGTCTGCCGAGCTCCTGCTGGGACGAGGTCCCAGCATCCCCACCGGGACCACTCATGGGAGAAGGGAGGGGCACTTCTCACGAGGCTCGGCGGATGTCTCTGAAAACGTGAAGTGGCTCCCTTTGAAGCCTGTTCACCCTTTCAGGCAACTGGTCCTCGCAGAGGACACGGGCTCTTCCCACTCTGCTGCCCAGAGCAGCTGGGCAGCCACCAGCTCCCAGGGGCCCAGGTGAGGTGGGGCTGAGTCAGGAAGCAGTCGGCTCAGTTAACAGCATCTCTGCTGGACAGAAGCACAGCTGTGACCCGGGGCCGGCAAGTACCCCTGCTCTCCACGGCAACCCCCGCGCAAGGCTGCTACAGCTGAACCTGCAGATGGCAAGTATGTGGGCCGGCATGGCTTCTCAGAATTGGAGTCATTTTCTTTCTCAGCACCAGGATCAGAATCATTAACTTTTAAAATCTAAATCCACAAATTTGAAGATGCAGGTATGCACCTGTCTCAAGAGATGGGCGTGCATTTATAAAGAACCAGAGAACATAGCAGTCCTAATTAATAATGATTCCTACGACCATGCCTGCAGGGAGCCGCACCAGCATCCCGGGGGACAGGAGCAGCCTGCCTTCCTGGTTCCCGGACACACCCTCCCCCCACGCCTCCGGGACCACCAGGAGCCAGTGGACCAGGCCGATCTCGGCCACAACTCCAGCTGCTTTGTCGGCATCACCCGCATCCTGTGCCTTGAAAAAGCTATTACATCAGCAACTTTTTAGCATATTTCCCCCTACTGTGCCTAATTCAATTCATTATGTCCTATAAACCTGATTTTAGATCCCTTAACCCATCTATTTTAAATAAGTTACTTAAAGCTCTCTGTGTCCACCAAAACCCAGCCCCAGCCCTTGTCCACCACACCCACAGGTACGTCCCCCCACCCCAGTCTCCTGTGACATAAGGACAGCACCTAAATAAAGCCCGTGCCTCCTGGAAACCTTCAGGGGTGGAATCTCGGACAGTCTCCCTCTGAGAGAAAGGGAGCAGAAGCACCGTGGCAGGATCGGGTTTTCAGCCAACGAGCTGCACGCACAATGGCAAAGGCAAAGCAGGTTGGCCACGCGAATACCTCCCTGGTAATATTTTATAGGGCAGTATCATTCTCATCCACTATGCAAATTAAAGATCAAAATAAGGACTGGGCTTCCCTGGTGGCGCAGTGGTTGAGAGTCCGCCTGCCGATGCAGGGGACGCGGGTTCGTGCCCCGGTCCGGGAAGATCCCACATGCCGCGGAGCGGCTGGGCCCGTGAGCCATGGCCGCTGAGCCTGCGTGTCCGGAGCCTGTGCTCCGCAACGGGAGAGGCCGCAACAGTGAGAGGCCTGCGTACCGCAAAAAAATAAATAAATAAATAAATAAATAAGGACTCTGGAGCTGGCTTAGAGCTTAGTCTAATGCCTTTTCCCTCTTTCTGCCACTAGGTGCCCACCTTCCTGTGAGCTTGCTATTTCTGCTCCCTGTGCAGGCAGACCCGTGCTTGACCTGCTCTCATCCAGGGGTCCAGGCCCCAGGACCAGCAACTAGATGGGGACACCTCCAGGAATCCAAGATACAGCTCCTCCGTCTGCTGCAAATGTCTGCTCCTTCAGTAGGCGAGGAGCTTACCAGATGTGGACCTGACCCCCTCCATCCTGCCTTCCACTTAAGGACCTCAGAAATCATGATGCCGAAGGTCCCCGCCCTCACGTCCCCACCCTCACTCAGGACGAGTGGACATGGCTGTGGCCAGTGCTGCACTGCTGAGCCCAGAGGTATCTCCACTTTCATCCCCGCCTTTCCTACCTTCCCGCATGGAGCCCAGGTCCCCCAGCTAGATACCTGCCACCTCTGACACCCCTGCCCCACTTCCAGGGCCCGGTCCATCCTGCACATACCCTGGGGCCCTTAGCTTCCTATAGCATCACTCTACTCCTGCTCTGGCCCAGCTCAGAAGCCCCCCAGCTTCTCACAGCCCAGAGAGCAAAGCACCAATACTACAGCCAAGCCTTCAAACCCTCCCCCATCTGGCTCCAAACTCCTGTCCTAATTGTAGGTCCTGCCCCTGCTTCACATGAAACTGGGTTTACATCGAGCATATACAACTACTCTTCCCCCTGGAAAAATTGGAACCGAAAGTGCAACGCTGGTGGGAATGTAAAATGGTGCAGCTGTGGAAAAGAGCCTGGCAGTTCCCTCAAAAGTTAAATACAGAATTTTAATCTGACCCAGCCATTCCACTTCTGGGTGTGCACCCAAAAGAGCTGAAAACAGAGACTTGAACAGACACTTGTACACACATGTTAATAGCAGCCAACTGTGGCAACAACTCAAACCTCCATGAACAGGTGAATGGATGGACAAAGTGTGGTCTATACATGCAGTGCAATGTTACTCAGCCTTAAAAAGGAATGACATTCAGACACATGCTACAGCATGGATGGACCCGAAAACACGAGCTAAGTGGAGTCAGCTAGACAGAAAAGGACAGAGACTGTATGAACCCCCTCGAACGAGGAGTCTAAAGTAGTCAGATTCACAGAGACAGGCAGTAGACTGGGGCTCACCAGAGGCTGGGGCAGGGGGAGGGGACTTAGTGTCTAATGGGCATGGAGTTTCAGTCTGACACAATGAAAAAGTTCTAGAAATGCGTGGGGATGACAGTTACACACAATGTGAGTGTACTTAATGCCAATGAACTGTACACCTAAAAATGGTTAAAATAGGGAATTCCCTGGTGGTCCAGTGGTTAGGACTCCATGCTCTCACTGCGGAGGGTGCGGGTTCAATCCTTGGTTGAGGAATTAAGATCCCATAAGCTGCGCAGTGTGGCCAAAAGAAAAAAAGCTTAAAGTGGTGAATTTTACGTTATGTGTATTTTACCACAATAAATGCTGTCCTGTGAAAAAGCCT